TGAGACAGAGTTTTGCTCTTGTTGTATAGGCTGTAGTACAGTGGCACAATCTCGGCTCACTGCTACCTCCGCCTCACAGGTTCAAGCAATTCTCCTGCCTCAGCCTCCCTAGTAGCTGGGATTACAGGCATGCACCACCATGCCTGGCTAATTGTTGTATTTTTAGTAGAGATGGGGTTTCGCCATGTTGGTCAGGCTAGTCTCAAGCTCCTGACCTTGGGTGATCTGCCCACCTTGGCCTCCCAAAGTGCTGGGATTATAGGCGTGAGCCACCGCGCCCGGCCCAAATTTCAGCTTTTATTAATAACAATTTTAGAACACTAAACATTTTGTGATTTTTATAGGTTTTTGTTGGTGGTGGTGTTTCTGAGACAGAGTCTGTTCTATTGCTCAGGCTGGAGTGCAGTGGCTGTATCTTGGCTCACTGCAAACTCCACCTTTTGGGTTCAAGCGATTCTCCTGCCTCAGCCTCCTGAGTAGCTGGGATTATAGGCGCCTGCCATCACGCCCAGCTAATTTTTGTATTTTTTTAGTAGAGACGGGGTTTTACCATGTTGGTCAGATTGGTCTCAAACTCCTGACCTCAGGTGTTCTGCCCGCCTCAGGCTCCCAAAGTGCTGGGATTACAGGCGTGAGGCACTGCGCCCAGCCGGATTTTTATAGTTATTATTGTGTACTTGTTCTTTGTCCTTCCATTGGTCTTAAAGCTCTCTGAAGCAGATCTTTTTCTTTCTTAGCTCTGCATCTCTGTATCTCCCAAGTACCTAATACAGTTAAGCATTCTTTACGCAAAATGCTTGGGACCCGACATGTTTCAGATTTCAGGTTTGAGTTTTTTTTTTTTTTTTAATATTTGCATATATAATGAGATATCTTGGGGATGGAACCCAAATCTAAACACAAAATTCATTTATGTTTCATACATACCTTATACATATAACTGAAAGGTGATTTTATTTTTCCCTTGGGGACACTGAATAAACTGCATCTGTGTGTTGACTGCATTAGGTCAGATGCGGAATTTTCTACTTGTGGCACCATGTCAACATGTAAAAAGTTTCTGATCTTAGAGCATTTTAGATTTCAGATTTTCAGATTAGAGATGCTCAACCTGTATATGCTTAGGAAATACTTACAAAGTTAATACTGAAGTCACAGGCAGTGTAGGTCAAGAAGTCCCTAAGGATTGTCTCCGTTCATTCACCTCATCAGCGTGCTTGCTCCCCATCTCCTCCTTCTTTTGGGTAGTGCCTTCATTCCCTGGCTTCCTGGTGATATCATCCCTTCTTAAGGCCCCAGACCAGGCAAGTGGGTCTGGGTGTCCACCTCTCAAGTCCAGCAGACTACACTTACACTCAGCCTGGACTATATCCAGAACAACCCAGATAGTTCTTCCTGTTGTTAATTATAATTTTAAGAGCAGATTTCTGAGCCGTATTTCTGACTGTGCCAAACAAATGAAATTCCTTTTGAATATAATGTTGTCCTCTGTGTACTCTAGAGTGGGTAGGAAGGATAGGGAAATGGTACCTGGAGACAATAGTACTGTGCTCTTCTTATTATTAAATTATTATGAGATTCGGTTTTTAGACACTGAAACAGAGATGACACAGAGGTTGAAGATCCCAACTGCCCAGGGTTTCCCTCACTGCTTTATAAAGATGCCTGCCTGGCTGGGCTCAGTGGCTCACACCTGTAATCCCAGCACTTTGGGAGGCCAAGGTGGGTGGATTATTTGAGGTCAGGAGTTTGAGACCAGCCTGGGCAACATGGTTAAACCCTGTCTCTACTAAAAATACAAAAATTAGCCAGCCGGGTGTGGTGGCGCGTGCCTGTATTTCCAGCTACTCTGGAGGCTGAGGCAGGAGAATCACTTGAACCGGGGAGGCGAAGGTTGCAGTGAGCCAAGATTGTGCCACTGCGCTCCAGCCTGGGTGACAGAGGGAGATTCTGTCTCAAAAAAATTTAAAAATAAAAAGGTGCCTCCTTGTGAGCTGGGAATTCTGTAATGTCTGAGTTAAGAGTAGAGGTATGGCCAGTCATGGTGGCTCACACCTGTAGTCCCAACATTTTGGGAGGCTGAGGCGAACGGATCACAAGGTCAGGAGTTCGAGACCAGCCTGTCCAGCATGGCAAAACCCTGTCTCTACTAAAAATACAAAAATTAGCCAGGCATGGTAGCACGCGCCTGTAATCCCAGCTACTCAGGAGGCTGAGGCAGGAGAATCGCTTGAACCCTGGAGGTGGAGGCTGCAGTGAGCCGAGATTGCACCACTGTACTCCTGCCTGGACGACAGAGTGAGACTCTGTCTCAAAAAAAAAAAAAAGAGGTTTGTCTGCAACCCCAGATGATGGCCTCCCTCGGATCCCATCATATTGGAGCCCAAGTCCAGTCCCCGTTTTGCCCCTTGTGGCAGACTTTGAAACAATTTGATGTGTTACATAAATATTGTATATTTTTAAATCTCGAATTATTGCAAGTCTATGCAAATTTTCAATTTCAAATAAATTTTTCTGTTATCTTAATGTTTTACATTTGCATTATGTTTATGTTAGTTTTCTAGAAGTTGGCAGAGGTCTCTGAGTTATAATGAGATGATAAATATAAACAGTGTTTTATTAGCTGTAAATGCGTATCACTTAAATGCTGTCTGGTAAGCCAATCCAGGATAAACTTGTTAACATCTTGGGTACAGTTGTCAGGGTTTATCAGAGAATGCTGTGAATATAATATCTAAATTTTGGCAAGGCATTTGGTGAAGTCTGTCCTGAGTTCTTGTAGATAAAACTTCATGGACAGAATGGTACAATTAAGAGGATTCATAACTGAGGTATGACTCAAACCAAAGAGGGCTAGTTAATGAATTGGTGAGAGCCTCGAAGAGCATTTGAAGCAAGGGCCAGCAGGGAACCTGCTCACCGAAGGCCTCTGCCCTCCACCTTACCCACATAAATTTTAGTAATTATTTGATTGTGGGCATTTAGGCATTCCTGTGTATTTGTATGCATTTTTGAGATAGGGTCTCACTTTGTTGCCCAGGCTGGAGTGCAGTGTCAGCATCATGGCTCACTGCATCCTCGACCTCCTGGGCTCAAGTGATCTCCCACCCAGCTGACTTTTTATTTTTTGTAGAAATAGATTCTCACAATGTTGTCCAGCCTGGTCTCAAACTCCTGGGCTCAAGCAATCCTCCCACCTTGGGCTCCCAAAACGTTGGGATTACAGGCATGAGCCACCAGGCCCAGCTGGTTTACCCAACTTCTATTAGATGATGAACATGTGTGAAGAACTGGGTGCTGGGAGGTACCCAAGACTCCTCCCCTAGTCCGCACCCTCATTCCCTAGTCCTGCCAGTTTTATCCCTTCCATAGTTTTTTTTTCTTTCTTTTCTGCCTTTTTAAATGATCACCTTGGCTTCAGACCTTCAGTGTTTCTTAAACCCACCTTCTCCCGATTCCTTCTGAACTTTAGGCCCTCGTCATTTATTTCTCTCCTGGACTACGGTGCAGTAGTGTTGTAACTGGTCTCCCTGCCTCTAATATTGCCCCCTTAACAATAAGAGCACTTCAGTGAAAATGGGCCCCTGACCTTATTGCTTAAACTAACCCCTCAGTGGCATTCCCTTGCATACAGAACTAGCTGCTTCACATTGTCTAGGAGGCTTTCTGTACTCTAGCCACATTTCTTCCCTAGCCTCATCTCCTGCCCTTTCCCACCTCTTAATTTTATGCTCCAGTGTTATGGGATGGCCTGTAGTTCCTCACATGGTCCATTCTGTTTCACGCCTTCATTGAGCCTTTGCTCACCTGGTTCCCCTGCCTTTGGTGGTCCTAACACATTGTCACCTCTCTTCCTCTTTGAGACTTGGGTTATCATTTATACCACTATATTGGAATTACGTGTTCATGAATTTCTTTCTCAAACTAGACTGACTATAAACTCCTTAAGGGCAGTGATCTTATTTAGCTCCTACCACATAGTAAGCAGGCAATAAGTTTTTGGGTTTTTTTATTTTTTAATCAGAACTGAGAATATGAAAAGATCTCGGCAAATGAAAGGCAGACCATAAAACTTAACAGGAAGCTAAAATTTAACAGGGATATACTTGGGCTTAAAATAAACAAACAAAGAAAACACATCTTGGCCTAAGTACTGAGTACAAAGTGGGAGAAAGATGACTCACCACCATCAGTAGACCATGTCAAAAAAGAAGGGCTGTGGTTTCAGTTGACTTTGTGCTCCATATGAGTCAACAGTGTGTTGCAACTCCAGTTCAGAACAGGGAAAGTAATAGTCCTGTGGGTTAAACCATGCAGGAGATTTGTGATCCAGCCTATGGGCCATCCTTTAAGAGAGGGTGAGGCATGTCCACAGGAAAGCAGCTAGAATAATGAGAGACAGTGACCCCATCATTTGGGGAAGGAATTAGGAATGTTTCATCTGGAGAAGACAGAGGGGACACAAAAATTGTAATCAAATGCCTAAAGAGCTATCATTGGGAGCCTCAAAATATAGCATTAGGCTAATGAGTAAAAACACAAAAAGAACTTTTTGACAATTAGATCTACTGACAATGGAATAAGCTATCTCATGAGCTCCAGGGTACTGTAGGGTTCAACCAAGAGCTTCTGGGAAGGGGTGTTACAGAGGGAAGCTTAGCCCCTGAAGGAAGTTTATACTCTTGGTCAGCTTTGAGGCTCAGTGATAAGAGGTCACTGAGTTCGTATTTATTGAATGTTGAGGAGGGGTGCCAGGAACGCATCTTCTAATAGTAATTCCTTTGTACCCATATTGGAAAAATTATACATTACCTAAATGGAAATTGTTGTGGACTAGAAGTCTGAACCTTCAAGGGCCACTCACTTATGACAGTGTTTGAAATCTGCTTATGGGAGATATCTGATGGCCTCACGCAGTGGATTCAGTCTTCATTCTGTCATGTCCTTTTGTGGAAAATTAAAGTGATTATCTCTTTCCCTTTGCTTTTTTTGCTTCTTAGTTCTGGAGAGTCTTGGCCTCTGGGAGGAAGTCAGAGGGATTATCTCAGGATCAGAGCTGATAACAGGATTCCCTTGTGCCTTCAAGGCGCCAGGCCTGCCCCAGTACCTCGAGAGCCTCACTAGACTAACCATTGCTGCAGTGTGGGCTGCAGCAGCCAAGAGTGGAGAGCGGGAGAGGGATGTCCCCATCTCTTTCTCTCAGCTGTTAGAATCTGCCTTCCCTGAAGTGCGCTCACTGACACTGGAAGCCCTCTTGGAAAAGTTCTTGTCAGCAGCCTCTGGACTTGGAGAGAAGGGTCTGCCACCCTTGCTGTGCAACATGGAAGAGAAGTTCTTATTGTTGGCCATGAAGGAAAATCACCCAGAATGCTTCTGCAAGGTAAAGTCTCCAATGTACTGACTGGCCCTTTCCATTCCCCACGTTCTTTTGTGAGCCACTGGAATGGTAGGATCATGAAGGCAAGATTGAGTTTGGGCTCTACAGGAGCAATAGGAAGTAGATTCAACATCCAGTGGATAAGGACTCTTTTTGTATGGTGGTTGGCATGGCGTCATACCTAGGAGGGCACCAAGAAAAGCTTTTGATGATGGGGTATTGATGGCAGAGATTAACCAAAGACAGAGCAAACCACTTTGGGATGTTTAGGAAACAGGTCATTAAAAATTCACTGTAGAGTGTGTTAGAGGTAGTCTTTGCTGACATGGCTATTTGAGGGCAGATGGCCACCTGGGAAGCATAATCAAAAGGAAAGGGCACTGGCCTAGAAATCAAGGCATCTGGCTCCCATCCCAAGTCACTAGAGGCCGTCTGGTTAGTCATTGCATCACCCTGCCTCAGTCTCCCAAATGTATTATGGGGGAAATAAGAAGTCAGTGGGAGCCTTTTGAAAGGTAGACCTCTTGTTGATACAATTGATTATCATGTAACCTCTAGAGACGTTTCCCTGAGTATTTATTTCTCTTTTTTGTGTGTGGATTTGGCTTACACAGATACTGAAAATTCTCCACTGTATGGACCCTGGTGAGTGGCTTCCCCAGACGGAGCACTGTGTCCATCTGACCCCAAAGGAGTTCTTGATCTGGACGATGGATGTTGCTTCCAATGAAAGGTTTGCCCCTAATACCTCCTGTACAACCTTGGTAAGATGTATGGTCCCATCAGTCATTATGTAATGAACTTGCACACAGTCCTGGCCTCAGGTCTCAGGTCCTGTGTTTCATTCTAAGCCTCAGCCTAAGAGTTCTAAACTCAAGCAATAGAATGATGTCAGCGATTCGCGTTAATAACAACAAGGTGATTGCTTCCGGAGGCATTTTTGTAACCAGGAGGTAGAGATTTTCAGTGTTCACCTCTGCATGGATTACAGACTATCTGCAAAAGCCAGTGTATGAAATATGTCTGATTGTAATTTTGTGTTTTTTTGTTTATTTTTCTAGATCTGAAATTCAGAGTGTAGCTCTGAGACTTGCTTCCAAAGTCATTTCTCACCACATGCAGACATGTGTGGAGGTAAGGCTAGTTCTGATCTTGTTCTGGGACCTAGGGTTTTGTGTTCTCATTTACTCAGAAGGTGTCAGTAAAAGTGAACAGTCTCAGCAGGCAGAACCCCTGTGACATGTGTATGTAACATCTACAAAAATATTGTTCATGCTGGTTTTTCAGTTTGAGTATAACTTGAGAAGACTTCTTTGGATGCCACCTTTCTTTTCTCTTGTTTTTTTTTTTTTTTGTTTTTTTTTTTTTTTTTTTTTTTTTTGGAGATGGAGTTTTGCTCTTGTTGCCCAGGCTGGAGTGCAGTGGCACAGTCTCAGCTCACTGCGACCTTTGCCTCCTGGGTTCAAGCGATTCTTCTCCTGCCTCAGCCTTCTGAGTAGCTGGGATTACAGGCATGTGCCAGCACACCCGGATAATTTTTTGTATTTTTAGTGGAGGCAGGATTTCACCATGTTGGCCAGGCTGGTCTCGAACTCCTGACCTCAGGTGATCAACCCGCCTCAGCCTCCCAAAGTGCTGGGATTACAGATGTGGGCCACTGCGCCCAGCCTGTTTTAGGCATTTTTAAAAGTAGAGTTCATGGGGGTAACAGAACCTTCCCCCCAAAACACATATGCCCAAACCCCTTATGTTTTCCCCCATTTCTCTAGCTGGACTCTTTATTTAAAGACGCATAAGCATGTCAATTCTAAAAATATTTAGGATTGCAACCTAGTGAACTAAGTATGAAAATACATTGCTAAGGCTTAAATATTCCCCCCAGAACATGACCCAGCTGGCTCTGGGTGGAGGCCCAGATACGCCCCACCTGTTTTACATGTCCTTTGGTAGTGAAGTAGAACTAAAGTAAGAAAAACAGCTTCCTGGGAAGATGTCTTAAGACAAATACATGCCACTTAGGTGCGTACAAGAAACATAGCACCATCACAGAATCACAAGTAGAAGGCAACCAATACCACAGGAAAATTACCTGAAGATCCGGATTCCACACAGCCACACTGATGGTGGTGGCATAACATTGTGGACCCTGAGCCCTTACAATAAACGTAGCACTGATGTGTAGGTACTGCAAATACAAAGATGAACAGAGACTAGAGGTATAGTCTAATGAGAGAAAGAGAACATTAGATAATTACATTACATGCTCTAGTAGGAAGGTGTGCCAGGGCCATGGGAACCCAGAGGAAGGAGCGAGAGTTCAGAGGCTGAAGAAGACTTCATAGAGGAGATCATGAAGTTCAGAGAGCATGGGGCTGGGCAGAGATAAAACTGAGGGTAAGAATTAACAAGCACAAGCCAAGGAGATTTAAAAAAAGCCCCCAAAAAAGTCAGGTGGGGTGTAGGGAGTATAGGAATAGAGATGATTTGCTAAAAACTATAGCCCGGGGGGGGGGGGGGGGAATGGCCAGACATGGTGACTCACACCTGTAATCCTAGCACTTTGGGAGGCCGAGACAGGCAGATCACCTAAGGTCAGGAATTCGAGACTAGCCTGACCAACAGTGAAACTCCATCTCTACCAAGAAATACAAAAATTAGATGGGCGTGGTTGTGGGCGCCTGTAATCCCGGCTACTCGGGAGGCTGGGCAGAATTGCTTGAACCTGGGAGGCGGAGATTGCAGTGATCTGAGATCATGCCACTGCACTCCAGCCTGAGCAACAGAGTAAGACCCTGTCTCAAAAATAAACAAAACAAACAAACAAACAAAAAACACCAGATCCAGGCACGGTGGCTCACACCTGTAATGCCAGCATTTTGGGAGGCTGAGGTGGGCAGATCACCTTGAGGTCAGTAGTTTGAGACCAGCCTGGCCAACATGGCAAAACCCCATCTCTACCAAAAATTACAAAAATTAGCCAGGTGTAGTGGCATGCACCTGTAATCCCAGCTGCTCAGGAAGCTGAGGCAGGAGGATCGCTTGAACTCAGGAGGTGGAGGTTACAGTTAGCCAAGATCATCTCACTGCACTCCAGCCTGGGCAACAGAGCAAGACTCCGTCTCAAAAAAAAGAAAAAAAAAAAAAACACCAAGTTCTAAGACAGAAGTCACCAGGCAGCCTAGCAAGACTGCCAAGGCATTATTCTTATCCAAAGCTGTTTTTAACCAGTTATTATGTCCAGTACATGAATAAAGTGATATTTAATGAAAATTGGGAATTTTCCAGGGAGAAAATAATGAACAGAACTGTAGAGAAATAGATAAAAGAAGCTCCTGGGGAAATATGAGTTTCTTGGTGCATTGGGAATTAGCATCTTCCTCAAGGTCTAATATACGCATCATGTTAGTTGCATAGATGCCCATAGATGATCAAAGGAATCATTACTTACATTTTGAACGTTTAAAGAGGTTCAGTTGATAGGAGAAGTAAAGTACATGTGGAACAACAGTCCCTGTTAGAAAATGAAAGAACAGAGTTTAAATGATGAAAACAATCCAGATGTTTATCAACTGATGAATGAGTAAGCAAAATGTAGTATATCCATACAGTGGAATATTATTTGGCCATATTATCTGATTCCATTTATAGGAAATTTCCATTTATAGGAAATGTCCTGAATTGGCAAATTGATAGAGACAGAAAGTAGATCAGTACTTACTCAGGGTTGGGGAGATGGGAGGATAGGGAAGTGATAGCTAAAGGGTGCAGAGTTTCTCTTTGTGGTAATGAAAATGTTCTGAAATTGACTGTGGTGGTGATTGCACATATCTGTAAATACACCAGAGTTCACTGCATTGGCCACTTTAAATGATTGAATTCTACAGTATGTAAACTGTATCTCGGTAAAACTGTTACTATTAAAAACAACAAGGAGCTGAAGGTTGAGTTGATCACCAATGGCCAATTATTTAATCAATCATGCTATTGCAATGAAGCTTCCTTAAAAACCCTGAAGAATGAAACGTACATAGAGCTTCTGGGTGGTGAACAGGATGCACCCACGTGCCAGGAGGGTGGCACACCCCAAAGCTCCATAGGGAAAGGAGGTCCTGTGCTTGGGATCCTTCCGGACCTCTCCCTGTGTATCTTTCTCTTAATCTGGCTGTTCATTTGTATCTTTTGGCCTTTGTAATAAACTGATAATCTAGTTTTCTAAAAAATAAAAACAACACTGCTTTGTTTAAACAATAGTGTTAGATGCTGCTTTATTTATTTATTTAGAGATAGAGTCTCATTCTGTCTCCCAGGCTGGAGTGCAGTGGCGTGATCTTGGCTCACTGCAACCTCCGCCTCCTGGCTTTAAGCAATTCCCCTGCCTCAGCCTCCTGAGTAGCTGGGATTACAGGCGTGCGCCACCATGTCCAGCTAATTTTTGTGTATTAGTGGAGACAGGGTTTCACCATGTTGGCCTGGCTGGTCCTGAACGCCTGACCTCCGGTGATGCACCTGCCTCGGCTGGGATTACAGCCATGAGCCACTGTGCCTGGCCTGTGATTCTGCTTTAAATATTTCAACAGAAACTCATAAATACTATGGCTTAAATCAGATAGAAGCAGTCCAAAGCAAATGTAGCTTGACAGTGTTGAGTCACCAGGTTCTCATACTTTGTTGTTCTGCTGTCCTAAACACATAGTTTCTATCTTAGGGCCCCACCTGGTTGCTCCAGCTTCCACCATCTTGTCCTTGTTTAGCTAGCAGGAAGGGGAAACCCAGGAAATAAAGATCATGGGCATTTATTAAGGTATGACTTGAAAGTGCACAGATACTACTTCTAGTGTCATCCCAGTCTTCAGAACTTAATCACCTGTTACTCCCAAATGCAAGAGAGACTGGGACATGTAGTTTCTAGCTGGGTGCCCATGGGCCCAGCCAAAAATCTGGGGTTCTGTTACTATAGGAGGGGCATCTGGTTATTGGTGACAACACGTTGTTATTTGCTGGACAGTCTTTCCCCACAAATTTGGTCTTTACGAGACCAAATGTATGCCAGTGTTCTCATAACCTGATTTGCATCCAGAAAGACTAAAGGAAGGCTGGGAGCAGTGGCTCATGCCTGTAATCCCAGCACTTTGGGAGGCCAAGGTGGGCAGATCACTTGAAGCCAGGAGTTTGAGACCAGCCTGACCAACATGGCGAAACCCTGTCTCATTTTAACCCTGTCTAACAAAAATTAGCCAGGTGTGGTGGCGCATACCTGTACTCTCAGCTACTTAGAAGGCTGAGACAGGAGAATCACTTTAACCCAGGAAGTGGAGGTTGCAGTGAACCAAGATTGCACCACTGTACTCCAGCCTGGGCAACAGAGCAAGATCTTGTCTCAAAAAAAAAAAAAAAAAAGACGAAAACAACTTGCTGTCTAGTCATAGTGACTCCATCTTACCGAAAGACAGGTCAGGTTTTCTTCCTTGGGCATATTTCTCTCTAGTTGGAATAGAAAAGCAACTAAAAAACAACCTTCTTCCCATTGAGCTAAGAGCTAATCTGCAGGCCCAGTCTGGTGTAGGTCACCCCTAATTCCATGTCAGCCCTTGTTGCATCTTCTGAACTGATAGGTATATTTTGTGCTTTTAGAACAGGGAATTAATAGCTGCTGAGCTGAAGCAGTGGGTTCAGCTGGTCATCTTGTCCTGTGAAGACCATCTTCCTACAGAGTCGAGGCTGGCCGTCATTGAAGTCCTCACCAGTACTGCACCACTTTTCCTCACCAACCCCCATCCTATTCTTGGTAAGTGTGCTGAGACGGAAGTCTGTTCACTTAAAATATGAATAGATACTCTTGCCTAAAAAAAGGGAAGGTGAAAGATGGCAACATGAAACCTACCTTTATGTCTTTCAGATATATTCCTGCCATCTTAGTTCATGCTCTAATCATTTTCACGAACACACTCTTTTTTTTTGAGATGGGGTTTCACTCTTGTCACCCAGGCTGGAGTGCAATGGTATGATCTTGGCTCACTGCAGTCTCCACCTCCTGGGTTCAAGCAATTCTCCTCCTTCGGTCTTCCAAGTAGCTGGGATTACAGGCGTCCGTCACCATGCCCAGCTAATTTTTGCGTTTTTAGTAGAGACGGGTTTTCACCATGTTGGCCAGGCTGGTCTCGAACTCCTGACCTCAGATGATCCACCCGCCTCAGCGTCCCAGAGTGCTGAGATTACAGGCATGGGCCACTGCTCCCAGACCACCAACACACAAAAACCAGCCTCTTGTTTTTCAGCCTTACCCTAAACTTTTTTCTACAAAGATCTTTCTGAAATGCAAGTCTGATAATTTCAGTCTACTGTTTAAAACCTTTGAGTGGGTTACCACTGCTTTCAGTATAAAGCCTAAACACCCTTTAGCACGGCTCACAAGGCCCTTCCTGTTCTGTCCCCTAACCCACTCCTCCTGCCTTATCCACCACTCCCTAACACAGGCCCTGTGTGTCATCAGTAGGGAACAGTTCTCTAAATTAAACAAACCACTGCTTGACTGACTTCTATTTGTCTTTCAAGACTCAGCCTAACTGTCCTTTCTTCCGGGAGGCCTATTGCAATAATCTAGGTGAGAAATGAATGGGTGAGTGTGAAGCTTTGACAGCAAGCAAGAGAGAACAGGCTCAAAAGATTTAGGAAGTAGAATCAACAGGACTTGGTGGTATTGAGGTTGATATAAAAGGAAAATTCAAGAATGACTTATAGGCATCTGGCTAAAGTAACTGGATAGGCTGCTGGTTGCATTCAATGATTTTTGTTTTAAGTTGAAGGTATCTGTATTAGTCTGTTCTCACACTGCTATAAAGAACTACCTGAGCCAGGCACAGTGGCTAACACCTGTAATCCCAACACATTGGGAGGCTGAGGCGGGTGGATCACCTGAGTTCGGGAGTTTGAGAACAGCCTGACCGACATGGAGAAATCCCGTCTCTACTAAAAATACAAAAATCAGCCAGGCATGGTGGCACGTGCCTGTAATCCCAGCTACTCGGGAGACTGAGGCAGGAGAATCGCTTGAACCTGGGAGGCGGAGGTTGTGGTGAGCCAGGACCGTGCCATTGCACTCCAGTCCGGACAACAAGCAAAACTCCATCTCAAAAAAAAAAAAAAAAAAAACCTACCTGAGACTGGGTAATTTATGAAGAAAAGAGGTTTAATTGACTCACAGTTCCATAGTCTTAACAGGAAGCATGGCTGCGAGGCCTCAGGAAACTTACAGTTATGGCAGAAGGTAAAAGGGAAGCAAACACCTTCTTCACATGGTGGCAGGAGAAAGAGAGAGAGAGCAGGAATAAGTGCCACACACTTTAAAACCATCAGATCTCATAAGAACTCACTCACTGTCATGAGAACAGCAAGGGGGAGATCTGCCTCCGTGATCCAATCACGTCCCACCAGGCCCCGCCTCCAATTCGATATGAGATTTGGGCAATCCAGACCATATCATTTCACCCCAGGCCCCTCCTGAATCTCTTGTCCTTCTCACATTGCAAAATACAATTATCCCTTTTCAACAGTCCTCCAGTCTCAACTCATTTCAGCATCAACTCAAAAGTACACAGTCTAAAGACTCATCTGAGACAGGGTAAGTCCCTTCCACCCATGAGCCTGTAAAATCAAAAACAAGTTAGTTACTTCCAAGATACAATGGGGGTACAGGTGGTGGGTAAGTGCTCCCATTCCAAATGGGAGAGATTGGCCAAAACACAGGGGCTGCGTGCCCCATGCAAGTTCAAAACCCAGCAGGGCAGTCATTAAATCTTAAAGCTTTAAGATAAATTCCTTTGACTCCATGTCTTACATCCAGGGCATGCTGATGCAAGGGGTGGGCTCCCAAAGGCCTTGTGCAGCTCTGCCTGTGTGGCTCTAAGGGGTACAGCCCCTGTATCTGCTTTCACAGGATGGTGTTAAGTGCCTGCAGCTTTTCTAGGCACACAGTGCAAGCTGTCAGTGGACCTACCATTCTGAGGTCTGGAGGACGGTGGTCCTCTTCTCACAGCTCCACTAGGTGGTGCCCCAGTGGGGACTCTGTGTGGGGCCTCTAACCCCACATTTCCCCTTCTATATTGCCCTAATAGAGGTTCTCCATGAGGGCTCTGCTCCTGCAGCAGACTTCTGCCTGGAAATCCAAGTGTTTTCATCATCCCTCTGAAGTTTAGGCAGAGGTTCCCAAACCTCAACTCTTGCCTTTTGCACACCCACAGGCCCAACACCACATGGAAGCCACCAAGGCTTGGGATTTGCACCCTCTGAAGCAATGGCCCGAGCTGTACCTTGGCTCCTTTTAACCACAGCTGGAGCTAGAGCTGCTGGGACTCAGGGTGCCGTGTCCTGAGGCTGCACAGAGCAGCTGGGCCCTGGGCCTGATCTAAGAAACCATTTTTTCCTCCTAGGCCTCCTGGCCTTTGATGGGAGGGGCTGCTATGAAGGTCTCTGAAATGCCCTGGAGATATTTTCCCTGTCATCTTGGCTGTTAACATTCAGCTCCTCCTTTTTTTTTTTTTTTTTTTTTCTTTTGAGATGGAGTTTTACTCTTGTTGCCCAGGCTGCAGTGCAGTGGCACGATCTTGGCTCACTGTAACCTCCGCTTCCTGGGTTTGAGCGATTCTCCTGCCTCAGCCTCCTCAGTAGCTGGGATTACAGGTGCCCACCACCATGCCTGGCTAATTTTTGTATTTTTAGTAGAAACAAGGTTTCACCATGTTGGCCAGGCTGGTGTTGAACTCCTGACCTCAGGCAATCCACCCATTTCGGCCTCCCAAGGTGCTGGGATTATAGGCATGAGCCACTGCACCCGGCCTTGGCTCCTCTTATGCAAATTTCTGCAGCAGGCTTGAATTTCTTCCCAGAAAATAGATTTTTCTTTTGTACCATGTGGCCAGGCTGCAAATTTTTCAGACTTTTATGTTCTGATTCCCTTTTAAATGTAAGTTCCAGTTTCAGATAATCTCTTTGTTCATGCATATGGGTATACACTTTTAGAAACAGCCAGGTCACATCTTGAATGCTTTACTGCTTACAGTTTTTTTCTGTCAGATACCCTCAGTGATCTCTCTCAAGTTCAAAGTTCCACAGATCTCTAGGGCAGGGGCAAAATACCACCAGTCTCTTTGCTAAAGCATAGTAATAGTGACCTTTACTTCGGTCCCCAATAAGTTTCTCATCTCCATCTGAGAGCACCTCAGCCTGGACTTCACTGCACATATCACTGTCAGCATTTTGGTCAAAACCATTCAACAAGTCTCTAGGAAGTTCCAAACTTTCCCACATCTTCCTGTCTTTTTCTGAGCCCTCCAAACTGTTTCAACCTCTGCCTGTTACCCAGTTCCAAAGTTGCTTCCACATTTTCAGGTGGAAATGTCTTTATAGCAGTGCTCCATTTCCAGTACCAATTTTCTGTAATAGTGCATTCTCACACTCCTATATAGAACTACCTGAGACTGGGTAATTCATCAAGAAAAGAGGTTTAATTGGCTCACAGTTCCACAGGCTTAACAGGAAGCATGGCTGGTAGGCCTCAGGAAACTTACAAGCATGGAAGAAGGCAAAGGGGAAGCAAGGCACAGCTTCCCATGGCAGAGCAGGAGAGTCAGAGAGCAGAGAGAAGGGCCACACACTTTTAAACCATCAGATCTTGTGAGAATTCACTCACTATCATGAGAACAGCAAGGGGGAAATCTGCCTTCATAATTCATTCACCTCCCACCATCCACTCCAATTCAACATGAGATTTGTGAATCCAAACCATATTAGGATCTTTGGGACGTAAAGGTGGAGATATTTTGAAATTAAATGGATGTACAGATCTTAGCTGGTTTCCAGCATGTTGTACACCTCCGTGTCTCTCCTGACTGCTACTCTGTGTGTCAAGAGTAATAGGAAAGGGCAGCATGTCAATGATGTGTAAGAACCAAGCTTGAGAAAATCCTAAGGAATTGAAAAGCATAGTTCTTTTTTTAAAAAATTTTAAATGGTGTTATTTTGTTTTTTTGTTTTGCTTTTAAGCATAGGGTTTAATAAAAGGAAAACCCAGGTTCTAAAGCCATCTTCAACCCCAGCCCTGCCCTCTCCTGCCGCGTTTAATCCCATATTAACATGCTCTGATTCTCTTCTCATCTATTAGTAGAGTTATATTTTTGTGTACCTCTTCCATGCTCAGCCCTCAAGAATCAGACATGGTCACTGCCTCCAAGAAGCTTTCAGTATAGTTGTGGAGAAAGGATTTACAGAATAAAGGAGGGAATTGTTTTTTAGATAGTGAGATTCAAATTTTAAATGTTGTAGGAGTTCGGACCAATAAAGGGTCTCATGTCCCTGTATCTCTCTAGGATACAATGTTTTCTTCAATATGGTTTTAACTTTTTTCTTCTTAGTGACTTCAGGCATTTTTCTTACAGCCAGAGAGATATATTGAGAAGGGACCTTCTGTGATTGTGATTTAATCATTAGACCCGGAGGAATAAGAGCAAAGGATGACAAACCTTAGTAAAGCTTCTCCAGTAAAGTTAATACCATTTTGCAGCACATTTTCTGGGTGACTTTAACTACTCAAACCCTAGCTCATAACAGGTAAAATGTGTATGGAATAACCTGGAATTCCTTTGTGAAATTGGGTCCTGTGCCTATAAGAACATGAAAAATAGGCGCAGTGACTCATGCCTATAAACCTAGCACTTTGGGAGGATGAGGCAGGAAGATCACTTGAACCCAGGAATTCGAGACCAGCTTGGGCAACATAGCAAGACCCTCTCTCTACAAATAATTAAAAAATTAGCCAGATGTGGTGGTGCGCACCTATAGTTCCAGCTACTCAGGAGGCTGAGGCAGGAGAATTGAACCCCAGGAGGTCGAGTGTGCAGTGTGAGCCCTTGTGCCACTGCACTCTAGCCTGGGCAACATAGTGAGACCCCATCTCAATGAAAAAAGGTACTGAATAGGTAGAAGCAAAGGACGTAAAAGTACATGAGAGGCCAGGCACAGGGGCTCATGCCTGTAATCCCAGCACTTTGGGAAGCTGAGGAGGCTGGGTCTACCTGAGGTCAGGAGTTTGAGCCTGACCAACATGGTGTGAAACCCTGTCTCTACTAAAAATACAAAATTAGCCGGGTGTGGTGGTGCATACCTGTAATCCCAGCTACTCGGGAGGCTCAGGCAGGAGAATTACTTGAACCCGGGAGGTGGAGGTTGCAGTGAGCCGGGATTGCACCATTGCACTCCAGCCTTTTAAATTATTGTTAAAGGTAGAAATTTAATAAACTGTTAGGTCTTTTGCTAGTTACATTGTCATCGGTTTTAAATAAGGCCAAGTCTCTATTATCTGGGCAACAAGAGTGAAACTTCATCTCAAAAAAAAAAAAAGAAGTACATGAGAAAAGTCAAGGGCACAGCAAAGTCATTTAAGGAAAAAGAAAAATTGAAATGGACTGAAGAGGGAAGGATTTGAAGGATATAAATGATGACCATGTTAAAAGAGGAAAATATTAAGAAAGGAAGGTATTGAACCCTTACAGAACAGCTAGAAAGGATGGAGACTGAAAGGCTGAGTAAAATTTAAAATCAGATCTGTAATGAAAAGAAGAGAACGAAACCCCAAATGGAGCCACTGTTTTATTGGTATGACTAAAGCATCAGTGACTCTGAAACCAGGTTCTCCATGTACAGATGAGGGAGAGGATAGACACAGGGGAGTTCTTAGGGCAGGGTAGTTTCTCCATTGAAAGGATGGCGATGCTGCGTGGTGGTCTTCCATGGCTCTCCAGTGATAACCCTCCACAAGCCCAGGCCCACCCCACCTGGACCGGAGGTACCCTTTCTGGGAGGCCATGCTCACCTCTCACTTTCATCTTGAATTCTATGTCAGTTACAGCAGTCCACTTTCATTTTTCCTCTTATGAGTCACAGCCACGCAATTTTGTTCTTGACAACTCATTGCTTTGTGTTTTTGACTTTATATTCCTTTTGATTGCTCAGGACAAGATACTATCTTTTATTGTTCATTGTCCACAGCAGCACCTAGCACAGGCTGAATAGACAGATCAGTATCCAGGAGTAATAATGGCATTCAGATAGTGGACCCCCTACATACGTGGGACACAAGTTGCTGCCTTTATCATGGGTCTTTCTCTTTTTTTTTTTTTTTTTTTTTTTTTGGTTGGGGGCGAGGATGGAGTCTCGCTCTGTCACCAGGCTGGAGTGCAGTGGCACGATCTCAGTTCACTGCAACCTCTGCCTCCCAGGTTCAAACGATTCTCCCATCTCAGCCTCCCAAGGAGCTGGGACTACAGGCGCCTGCCATGACGCCCAGTTAATTTTTGTATTTTTAGTAGAGATGGGGTTTCACTATATTGGCCAGGATGGTCTCAATCTCTTGACCTCGTGATCCACTCACCTTAGCCTCCCAGAGTGCTGGGATTACAGGTGTGAGCCACCGTACCCAGCCTCTTTTTATTCATGCCCCCACAGCATAATCTTGATTGATGCTTCACTTTCAGAATTTATAGGCTCAGACACTTGAATCAACACTGGGCCAGTTTCTCCAAAGCAGCCTTATGCATAAAGTTTTCTTCTAGAGAATCAGGACTCAACTAGAAGAGTAGGGCACCAGGTCTTTGTCAGCTGGGCAGCATCTTCTGGAGGCCTTGCCTAGGGCTGGTTGCCTCCAGAAAGCCTATCTCCTCACCCCCAAAAAAGACATTTCCAAATCTGCTCCCTTAGGAGTCTCTCTTTGCTAATATTTGTCTAACACTCTTTCTATCTTAACAATACCCAGAAAAAAAGGAATAGCTGCAACTCATTCAGTGCTCCTCTCTTCCACCAGGGATTTGAAGCAGTATTTGCACCTGCCTGTTAATTGCATTCTAGGTAATTCAGATTCCTTTTGGTCTTCTTAGAGTTGCAGGATACACTTGCTCTCTGGAAGTGTGTCCTTACCCTTCTGCAGAGTGAGGAGCAAGCTGTTAGAGATGCAGCCACGGAAACTGTGACAACTGCCATGTCACAAGAAAATACCTGCCAGTCAACAGGTACGTCGTTCTTATCCTTTCGCATTGCCTTATTGCTGTAGGATAGGGGTTGGCACACTTTTCTATAATGAGCCAGATAGTATCTTAGGCGTTGTTGGTCATTTGGTCTCTGTCTTAACTCTGCCATTTTAGTGGGAAAGCCACAAACAGTAGGTAAACAAATGGGCATGACTGTGTTCCAATAAAATTGTACTTACAAAAATAGGCAGCTTCTCAGATTTGATCTACTAGCCATAGTTTGCTGACCCCTGCTCTAGGACATCCTAGAGAAAAATTATTTTTAAAGGTAGAGATTTAATAAACTGTTAGGTCTTTTGCTAGTTACGTTGTCATCGGTTTTAAATAAGGCCAAGTTTCTATTATCTGTGTGGTTCCATAACTCAGGAATCACAAAACCATCATTTTGTTCCTGTGTGCAAGAAAGCAACAAATGATTATGTGTACATTAAGTTTCTCTACTTTGTGTCCTAGCTGCTCATCTGATAATGACATGAACCCAGGAGGGAAGAGGGGAGTGGAAAGAAGAGCACCCTAGCTGGGTAGTCCTGAGGTCACAGCCATAGTATAAGTGGTTACAGCCCCGGGCCCGGGGTCATGTGCATGTAATGGCAAATGCTACAAAAGCAAAAAGGAACTCAGGCTGTGGGTAGAAAATGGGCTGCTGGATGGAAGAGACGGGGCAGATGGAGTAGACGTAAGATCACACCTCTGGACAAGTGGCCATCTAGGAGGATGCCTGCTTTAGTGGACTTGGATTCTCTTGGGGCTGGGTGTCAGGAAAGGTCTCTGGATCAACCGTCCCAATGAGAAGCAAGAACACTGTTTTGAGGCAAGGGATCAAAGCTGAGCAAAGAAGTTCACCTTAATAGACAACAGAATGAGAGAAGAGGAAGCCAGATAGCCTTTGTAATTGATGCAAGGCCCCACATCAGTTACTCTGGGTGGGGCTGCTTGCCAAGGCAGAACACAGGACTGTGTTCCCTGGAAGCCTCCCGAGATGTGTGAACCTTCCAGGATCTGAATCCGCAGTCTAAATGGTCTGTGCATGCTTCTCTGCCTATGTGGAAGAAGCTAGTTTTGGAATAATCTCTCAGTGATACTGCACCAGGGCAGGTTTCGCCTAGATCAGCTTTTCCTCTCAGGAGGATAGCATTTGGAACGGAGCCACAAGTGATATGCAAGCAGGCTCGCCTCAGCCCCCAACCTGCCAGACTTCCCCAATAGCTAAAATTCTGCCATTGGTAATTTATTCATTTTTCCAATTGCAGCATTTGCTTAGAAGGACACACAGAAAGCCCAGTGAGTGCTCAGTAAACATTTGTTGGATTATAATACACAGTAGATTCCGTACCCAGCCCAGCTTGATTTTCTTAAGCATAAAATATAGATCTTTTTCTTTAGACTGAAAAGTAGCTGAGGACTGAGAATTTTTTCAGGACCCTGATTTTTTTCTTTAATCAGAAGTTAGGCAACTGATTCATCAGAACAATATTGTCTTGTTTTAGGCCAGGCGCAGTGGCTCACGCCTGTAATCCCAGCACTTTGGGAGGCTGAGACGTGTGGATCACTTGCGGTCAGGAGTTCAAGACCAGCCTGGCCAATATGGTGAAACCCCATCTCTACTAAATATACAAAAATTAGCTGGCGTGGTGGTGGGCACCTGTAATCCCAGCTGCTTGGGAGGCTGAGGCAGAAGAATCTCTTGAACCCGGGATGCATAGGTTGCAGTGAGCTGAGATAGTGCCACTGTACTGCAGCCTGGGTGACAGAGCAAGACTTCGTCTCAGAAAAAAAAAAAAAGAACAATATTGTCTTGTTTTACCGTCTCTCAAGGATATCAAGTGCTGGTGGTAACTTCACATTCATTCAACATATAAGGATTTTGTAGAATCACTGCTGATGTTTTCCTCTTTGGTGTTCCACGTTAATTACCATTGAGTCTTAACTACCTTAAAAGTACATGTTGTTTCTTTTGTCCCCAAATCAGTGGTTGGCTAAATGCCACAGTAAAATAACATTATTAAGTTGTGTTAATATTTAACGTCTTCTTTGAGAAGTTAAAATTATAATGAAAAAATTAAAGTTAGTTCTCAGTTTTCCTCCAAGAAAGAAATACAACGCAAGAGCTCCACACCTCTGAGATCTCCCACTGACAGTGAGGGATGGATGCAGACGGAGCTCTGCTCTCAGACTGTCTTCTAGCAGCCTGCTGGAGGAGCTTGGGGAATTAGGAGGTGCATTCTGTGGGGTCTCTCTGGAAAGGGTCTGGAGAGTGGAGTGGGCTCAAAGGAAGGGAGAGATGTGACACAAATGAGAGCAGAACAGTCAATGCAGAAAGAGAAGTTGGAGCCAAAGCCTGGAGTTGGGGAGAACCTGGGAGCTGATTGGGCAGCAGTGAGTGGACTTCTGTGGTCAGAACACAGGCTTAGGCCAGGCAAGGAAGAGGAGCAGGAAATGAACTGAGCAAGGCAGGGGCACCCGCTTGTGGGATGGCTCAGTACCAAGCCCCGATCTCCTTCTGCAGGTAATGGGAAGCTGGAGAGGGTTTAAAGCAGGAATGAGGTGGGAAGGCACTCAGAGGAGACTGGTGTTACAGGAAACATACTTGTGGAATCTCTGCAGCAGTGTGTGAGATGGGCCAGGGCTGGGGATGAGTAAGGGGATTTATTAAGCAGGGAAATAAGCTGGGGGCTGGCAGCGACAGTCCTCTCCAGCTGCTCTCAGTAGGGATGGGGTGGAGAGGAGAGGACTGATGTGTGAGAGTACTGGTTGGGGTTTGGGTAATCTCAACATGGGGAGTGCTGCTGTGGGAGGTGGGAGAGAAGGGAAAGCATGAGGTGACTTCAGAGTTTCAAACCTATGAGGTGTCCAGGGAAAAATACCGAGGCATGCCTCTGGCACTGATGTAGAAGTCAGACCGTGGCATTCCAGGAAGTGAAACTACCAGGAAATCGGGAAAGGCAGTCAGAGGCCACAAGTCACTGTGATCCAGGACAAAGTATTCCTTAGGTCTTGGAGAGCTCGGCAATAGAAATGGAGAGGGCAAAGGGAGACCTTCATCTCCTGTGGGAACAGAATAGACTGGGCTCTGTCCTGCCTTCCTCAGAACGCAGCACAGCTATCCTGGGATCTCCAGTGCTCCTTAACAGATCTTTCTTTCTGTAGAAGAGGCAAGCGTTAAATGCTTGCACTTTCTGGAACCTGTAGAAGAGTCAGGCGTTAAATGCAGTAATTCAGACTTCCTCACACTAAGATATCGTTTTGAATAATTGGCTTTAGGTCTAGATTTGAATTAGTTAATGATTATAGAAGGCCTGGGGAAAATAATGCTATGATTAGCCGGCCCTCCTAAGAATGGATTTCTTACCTTTTTTGCCTGCTGGAATCTCCTGCACATGCTTCACCCCGCATAGGGAAGCATGAAACTCACAGCCTGTCAACAACTTTCTCCCTGCAATGTCTGAAGCACCCTCAGCCCTTAGAAGTATGGACATCAGGGAGCCCCAGCTGCAGGACCCTCTCTGCCCCTCCCTCCCCACTCTGTACCAATCATGGAGCCTGCAGAAGGGAATGGAAGAAATGACATTTCCAGGACTTAAGAGTAAAAGATTGAAATTCACAGCTAGGAGAAAAAAAATGTGTGGGCCAGACTCCAGGCAAGGCTCCTCCTTCCTCCTTTCCCTGCTCTGACTTCAGGCCTTGAAATGCTCAGGAAAGAGCTCTAATGAAAGAGCAGGAGATGCTCAAGGCTGTCTCTGCAGCTCCCCACCCTCTTCCACCAAGTGGCCACTTGGATCTGTTTTATATACCACATCGGGGATTTAATGTCAGATTTCATTTGAACAAAGCCCTCTATGTGGGAAAAACAACCTGGACAATATTTAACTTTAAATCCCGGCATTTGTATGATTCTTAAGTTAGGCAGAGTTCTGGGTGAGAGCAGCAGGGGAGGAACCCATGAAGGTACAAATTTGTGAAGCTGCCTTCAGAGGAAGAGAAGATAAGAAAGGTATCTTAGAAGGTTAGAAGGGCTAAAAGAAAGAATCCAGTGATTGGGGTTCTTCCATAGCCTTTCCTACAAGCCAGGGGGACCTGAGCCTTTTCTTTTTGTAGAGCTCTTTCACTCCGACGCAAGTAATCTGGTGTGGCTTAGCTGGAAATACTGCAGAGAGTTAGACCGAAGGACTCCAGGATGGACTTAAGGACGGCTAGATCAGGAGGTCCCCAGGCAGAACCCCATATGTTCCACTTAGCGGAGGCAGGGTGCTTCTGGGAGCTGGATGGGCCATGGGGACAGGGCAGGCAGGGGGATGGCTTTCTGGACTTCCCTCAGGCTTCTTGCTTTTCCTGGCACTGGATCTCCCTCTCTTGCTCTTTCAGCTTCAGCCACTGTTGGCCATTTAGATGGCCTGCTTCCGTTCCCGTCTCCTTTTGTAAGGCTCAGAAAACAGTTTCCGGCCAGGTGTGGTGGCTCATACGTGTAATCCTAGCACTTTGGGAAGCTGAAGTGGGCAGATGACCTGAGGCCAGGAGTTCAAGACCAGCCTGGCCAACATGGTGAAACCCCATCTCTAATAAAAATATAAAAATTAGCTGGGCATGGTGGTGTGCATCTGTAGTCCCAGTTACTCAGGAGACTGAGGCAGGAGAATTGCTTGAACCCCAGAGGTGGAGTTTTCGCAGTGATGCAGTGAGCCGAGATCATACTACTGCATTCCAGCCTGGGCAACAGAGCGAGACTCCATCTCAAAAAAAAAGGGATAACAGTTTCTGCTTGAGTTGATACAGGATAAGAGAAGGCATTGAGCAAGGGGTGCCATGGGTTTTGGTTCAAGAAGGATGACTTCTTGGTAGAAACTTTATTATGGAAAAATGTATATGTAAGACCTTTAAAGGGGGTAGTGGGTAGGCAAGCAGGCAGATCAGCTGTGGCTCTTTTTGTTAGAATACTGTCTCCAAGTAATTCTGGTCCCTCTCTCCTAGCAGGCCCCTTGCCCACA